ATTTCGAGAACCAGTTCATGCGGGGGTCCTTAACAAGGTTGTACCCGATATAGAGAAGAACGAAATGAGTTCGAGACCTGGATAGGAAGGAAGCAACGCGGTTGATGAGAAGGTGAGTTGTGGCTGTCAGGACGTTTGTTTGATGTGATAGGCCCGATAGTTATTGAGGTGTGTTTCATGAGTGTTGGTAAGGTTAAGTTTTAGTTGTGTTACAGGAGGAATGGTTTAGTTGAAGCAATTATTTAATAATAGTATGTTGAGTTTACATATGCGTTCAAGCTGTGGCTTATATATTAATATGAATGCTTATGGCTATTGTGTAGTGACAGATGTTGTTGCACAAGGGTTGCAAGAATTGGCAAGCTGGAGTTTTTACGTGGGGTTTCTTGTTGGAATGTGCGAACATGTTTATATGGTAGCAATGTGTGTTTTTCTGAATGTGTGTATTGGCAGCAGGGGTGCAAAAAAGGGTTGTCTACTGCCAGCATGTGTATTCCTGAGATGTGTATTAGCGTAGTAGGCTTTTGCTGGTAGTGGGAGTAGGCGAGTTTACATGAGTTTGTCTAGTGTCATCAGATGAGTTTAAATGAGGTTTGTCTACTCTCAGCAGATGAGTTTACATGAGGGTGATTAGCAGGTGTGTATTATTTGGTAGTAAAAAAATTTAAATAATTATAATGTTAAGTCCGAGTTAAAAACTGGTGTCTCTTCACACCGTATTGGTGTAATGCAAAGATTTAGCAATTGGATAGTTATCAGGGAAAATGGAGAAGTGTTATATTGAGTGTTGGGATCTAGTGTCAATAACTTGGAAAGGAAACCCGAAAAGTTATTCGTGGACTGTAAGACAGTGGACGGCTTTCGTCATATGATCAATAACTCTAGTGGCGGGTCAGTATATGACTAAGACCCGCGTCAAGAAACGTCATGTTTCCTGAAGAATCTTAACTCAGCCTGGTGAGTTACGGGGTATGGAAAACCTCCTTAAGATAACCCGATGGCTCAGACAGATAACGTCTCTAGTCCGATTTTTTTTTATTATGAAATACAGCTAAGGGCAACAGATAAAATGCAAAGGCTAAAAATCTGAAGATGTGTCACGTATGTGGCTGCAGGTAGGTAATGTTAAGTTGTTGCCAGAGGCAAGTAGTGTTAAGATGGAGGGTACAAATAGACAGTGTTAAATATATAGCCAGATGTTGGCACTATCAAAAATTAAACAAAAATTGGAAAGTGTTATTCATGTGACAATTAGATTGACGTGTCTGTCAAAGTTATTGGTTGTAGTTGTGAAAGAGTGAAGGACAAACAATACCAGCCTTGAAGAAGACAGTTTCCTACTTCAAGGAAAGAAGTGAATATGCATATATCCGAAAAAAAGTATCCCTGTATTTCCTAACCCCTGTCCCGTCTCAATTCACGCGATTGGAATAGTACTGAGTGCGGCACAAGTTTTTAATTAAGTTAAGAATTAGATTTGATTTTTTTTTAAGATCAGGAAAAATAATTCACCTGCCAAGATATGCAAACAAATATCCTCTTATTTCAATGAAAATAGTAAATGCTCGAAATGAGTCACAGGGAAAAAATTGGGAATGGTCTCAGTACGATTGTGCAGAAGGTTACCACGCATACAAATAGTCCCATGAATCTTGCCCAGTGTACTTGGCACCAGCATTGAAAATCTTAAACAGATCGAATATGGCGTTCTCTAGAAATAAATGAAATTGGTGTTAAAGCAAATAATGATGTTGCTGAGAATATTCCGGAAAAATAAAAAAAAGTTTTCCCTCCTAAGAAAAAAAAAAAAAGAAAGAAAGCCTTAAGACAGCTATTTTTTCGAGTTTAGTGTTATGGAAGGATTTTTTTTTTGCTTTCCTTAAAAATTCAAATTTGGTAGAAATCGAGAAAAATGACAAAGTGACTCCCAGACAACACGAAATGAATACGAAAATCCTTTCTATTAAGCTATAACATAAGTTATTTATATATACACACACACACACACATACTATCAAACACTATAAATCAAATAAACATATCACAATAAACATACATAAAAAAACAACATATAATATATCAATAATATATATATAACATATTTTATTGTGTTATATGTGTTTGTGTTGATTATGTCATATTTGTTTAACATTTAACATATTTAAAGGTTAAAGATCATAAGATTTTACTATTCTTAAACAAACACGGCTGATATCACGAGCTAAGGGTGGCAAAATAAAGAAAAGAAAGTTTCGTCTGTTTAAATGGTAGTAATTATAAATGAGAAGCTGATGATAAAGTCATAAATAAATTGTATATATTGATAAGTATATAAGTATAATTTTATATACTTATAATAGGTACTAACATAAATGTGTACTGTATAATACTAATCATAAAATTTTTATTATAATATAAATATAATTTTATATTATATAATATATATAGTAGTGTGTTGTGTGTGTAGTGTGTGTAGACTTTTACAGTGTTTCTGTGCTGTCGAACATTTCAACAATATTTAAAGGTTAAAGCCGATCGGATGAAGCATTCTCTACTTATTGCGGTAAACAATTTGCTTAACAACACTGGCAAATTGAAATGTACGAAGCTGAAGGAGAGTGACAAGTTGTACTGTGATAAAGGTCACTAACAGTAAAATTGTTGTACTGTGATAAAGGTCACTAACAGTAAAATTGTTGTACTGTGATAAAGGTCACTAACAGTAAAATTGTTGTACTGTGATAAAGGTCACTAACAGTAAAATTGTTGTACTGTGATAAAGGTCACTAACAGTAAAATTGTTTGTACTGTGATAAAGGTCACTAACAGTAAAATTGTTGTACTGTGTAAAGGTCACTAACAGTAAAATTGTTGTACTGTGATAAAGGTCACTAACAGTAAAATTGTTGTACTGTGATAAAGGTCACTAACAGTAAAATTGTTGTACTGTGATAAAGGTCACTAACAGTAAAATTGTTGTACTGTGATAAAGGTCACTAACAGTAAAATTGTTGTACTGTGATAAAGGTCACTAACAGTAAAATTGTTGTACTGTGATAAAGGTCACTAACAGTAAAATTGTTGTACTGTGATAAAGGTCACTAACAGTAAAATTGTTGTACTGTGATAAAGGTCACTAACAGTAAAATTGTTGTACTGTGATAAAGGTCACTAACAGTAAAATTGTTGTACTGTGATAAAGGTCACTAACAGTAAAATTGTTGTACTGTGATAAAGGTCACTAACAGTAAAATTTAAAGCCATTTGGAAACAAACATTATTCTGAACTTGGTATGATTTCAACATTTCCAATTTTTTTAACTGTTTCATTTAAGTTTTAAGTTTTCACATACTCAGAATATACTTACGGGTTATAATACATCGTTAATATTATTTTGAAGCAATAAGAGCAAGAATTCTTTAGTAATTTGAATAAAAATTTAAAATTACTGTTTATTTAATCATTACTGAAAAATAGGGACTTATGCCACACACTGCCAGAGTGAGCACTGTGCTCAGGACTTATGTCACTCACTGCCAGAGTGAGCACTGTGCTCAGGACTTATGTCACTCACTGCCAGAGTGAGCACTGTGCTCAGGACTTATGTCACTCACTGCCAGAGTGAGCACTGTGCTCAGGACTTATGCCACCCACTGCCAGAGTGAGCACTGTGCTCAGGACTTATGCCACCCACTGCCAGAGTGAGCACTGTGCTCAGGACTTATGCCACCCACTGCCAGAGTGAGCACTGTGCTCAGAACTTATGCCACCCACTGCCAGAGTGAGCACTGTGCTCAGGACTTATGCCACCCACTGCCAGAGAGAGCACTGTGCTCAGGACTTATGCCACCCACTGCCAGAGTGAGCACTGTGCTCAGGACTTATGCCACCCACTGCCAGAGTGAGCACTGTGCTCAGGACTTATGCCACCCACTGCCAGAGTGGCACTGTGCTCAGGACTTATGCCACCCACTGCCAGAGTGAGCACTGTGCTCAGGACTTATGCCACCCACTGCCAGAGTGAGCACTGTGCTCAGGACTTATGCCACCCACTGCCAGAGTGAGCACTGTGCTCAGGACTTATGCCACCCACTGCCAGAGTGAGCACTGTGCTCAGGACTTATGCCACCCACTGCCAGAGTGAGCACTGTGCTCAGGACTTATGCCACCCACTGCCAGAGTGAGGACTGTGCTCAGGACTTATGCCACCCACTGCCAGAGTGAGCACTGTGCTCAGGACTTATGCCACCCACTGCCAGAGTGAGCACTGTGCTCAGGACTTATGCCACCCACTGCCAGAGTGAGCACTGTGCTCAGGACTTATGCCACCCACTGCCAGAGTGAGCACTGTGCTCAGGACTTATGTCACCCACTGCCAGAGTGAGCACTGTGCTCAGGACTTATGCCACCCACTGCCAGAGTGAGCACTGTGCTCAGGACTTATGCCACCCACTGCCAGAGTGAGCACTGTGCTCAGGACTTATGCCACCCACTGCCAGAGTGAGAACTGTGCTCAGGACATATGCCACCCACTGCCAGAGTGAGCACTGTGCTCAGGACTTATGCCATCCACTGCCAGAGTGAGCACTGTGCTCAGGATTTATGCCACCCACTGCCAGAGTGAGCACTGTGCTCAGGACTTATGCCACCCACTGCCAGAGTGAGCACTGTGCTCAGGACTTATGCCACCCACTGCCAGAGTGAGCACTGTGCTCAGGACTTATGCCACCACTGCCAGAGTGAGCACTGTGCTCAGGACTTATGCCACCCACTGCCAGAGTGAGCACTGTGCTCAGGACTTATGTCACCCACTGCCAGAGTGAGCACTGTGCTCAGGACTTATGCCACCCACTGCCAGAGTGAGCACTGTGCTCAGGACTTATGCCACCCACTGCCAGAGTGAGCACTGTGCTCAGGACTTATGCCACCCACTGCCAGAGTGAGCACTGTGCTCAGGACATATGCCACCCACTGCCAGAGTGAGCACTGTGCTCAGGACTTATGCCACCCACTGCCAGAGTGAGCACTGTGCTCAGAACTTATGCCACCCACTTCTAGAGTGAGCAC